AACCCTCCAAACCCTCCAAACCCTTCCAATGCCCAAGAAAATAGATTATTTACCTATGAAAAGGTGTCATTCTCCATAGCAAGCTGGTAGTGAGATCCATTATATGTATCGCTAAGGGTCCAATCTTTGGCTATGCCAATTTTTGGGAATGCTTTGCGAATTCACGAGCAGAGTTCCACTGGGACTCATTGGCTCTTGGTTGAATTCCCGATTTTGGTTAATGAAATCTTTTTTTTCGTTGGTCAAGACTCCCTTGTGTTATTACTTCAAACATGTCATATGGGTTTTGAGAAAAGACGGTACCCAAATATTCCATAATTTCATACCTCATCTTCCCGATGAATATGACATCATATGACCATGTGTTGGGGGTAAATCCCCTAGTTTGGTGATATATCCCATTATAATATAGCCCATCATATCCCTCATTTTTGTTGTTGAAATCCCCCTGTGTTGCTCCAAGGTTCCGTCAAATCTCCATTGTCGGTGAAAACCCATCAAAAATCTCCGAATTTTGGCTGGTGAATCATCCCAGCCCCAAAACAAAACCTCCCCATTCTGTCCCCAAGATATGGAAATCCCCAATTCAACCCACCATGGTTTCGGGATGGGATCATTCTCAGCTCCACCACCCGCCACAAGATCCACTAGCTTCGTCCCTGCGCCCAGCTGCTTGTCTGCGGAGATGGTGGCGGAGATCGGGTCCTGGCGCCGGAAGAGCTGAGAAAAATGCTGAAGAAACGATTGGAAAATGCTGATTTAATGGGATTCAAGGGTGATTCAATGGGATTTGCTGGGGATTTTTCATGATTTTTCATGGGATACCCTCTGGTCATTTGTTACAGAGCTATTGAAAATCATCCATTTCGATGGGACTATCGAAGTCAATGGGCCATTGTCCACTACGTCAAATTACCAGAGGGTCGAGGGTAAAACATATATTTCTCTACAGTAAGAAGTCCACAGTTAATACACCTCATCAATTCTTAATTCATATACAATATGTAAATATATATATATGTAATAATAGTAATATGTATTATGTATATATATATATATAGGCACTCACTCAGCTCCTTTTTGCTCACGCTGTGGCAAGGCTGTAAAGTGCCAGGACCAAAGGTGTATTACCGTTTGGTCAGTTTTTGGATCTGCTTTCTGCAAGCAGCTGCAGATCCTTCAAACCTCAGGCCCCTTGAGCCTGGCCAGGCTCTATACCAGAGCGCTTCACAGGACCAAGCTATCCTGGCACACTCCCACCAAGCGAAGGACACAGCAAGCGCTGGCAGGGCGGGAGAGGCCTGGGAGAGCCAGAGCTGCGGAGCCACCGAAGTGCTATAGAAATGTGCCTTCATGCAAAGCCTTCAGTTACTTGCATCTATAGGCACTCACTCAGCTCCTTTTTGCTCACGCTGTGGCAAGGCTGTAAAGTGCCAGGACCAAAGGTGTATTACCGTTTGGTCAGTTTTTGGATCTGCTTTCTGCAAGCAGCTGCAGATCCTTCAAACCTCAGGCCCCTTGAGCCTGGCCAGGCTCTATACCAGAGCGCTTCACAGGACCAAGCTATCCTGGCACACTCCCACCTTCAGCACTTCAAATCACGAAGGCCAAAAAGAAGATGGGGCACTTACTCCCAACTTATCAGCGCCTTGAAGTGCGCTTCTGACGCAGTTGCTCGCAAAAAAGAGAAATTTGAACCTGAAAACGGTCCACTAAGGAGGCACTGACTGGGGAGAGGCGCATTTGTACCAAGGCGGCACGTCCGGAATCGAGGTATTGGCGCGCCGTTTTTACACTTTGCCACCGACCCAACAAAAGAAGGGTATCAAAATGAGTGCCGGTGGCAAAGGCGTGAGAAGCCCCTCCTCTACGGAGGCTATAACCTGTGAAACTCATATCCTCGAGTTTGAGGAACTTCAGCAACAAACGAAGCTTTGCCCTGAACTGGTTAGGCGAGAGGCCGCCTATAGATTTGTCCGGGCAGGATCGGAGCACCTCAAAGGCGAACGTAGCCAAGAGGGAGTCATACACAGCCACACTTTCCATTTTTTGTTTTGACGTTTTGGTGGCTGGCAACGCTAAAATGATCCGGCCCGTTGTTGGGTCTGCCTGTACGTGTGAAACTTCAAGGCCCGTGATCTCGCCTGTTCTGAGGAAGGCTGTGAAGCCCAGCAAAAGTAACAAGGCTAGGCGATGATCACCAACCTGCACGGCAACGCCGGCCAAAGCTAAGGCTACATCAGCGGGCATGGGAACCGCCTGCTGGGGGACATGCACACTTTTCCAATTGGAAAAGAATTGTTTTGCCACGGGCAGCTTGTACCTCAGTTGGGGGTAGAAACGACGTAGTGCACTGAGGACATGCCCGGCATAGGTGATGTTTATATCATCCAACCACAAGTGCTCCAGGTATTGTGCTAAGAGGTCATCCAAAATGGACGGCCTAGAGGGAATTGGCTCACCCTCATCATCCAGCCAGCGAAAGAAGTGCAACAGGGCTCGTTTGTAGCTCCTCAGGGATTTTGCGTGCAGACCGACAAACCGCAGGGACATTCAGGTTCGTCGACTTGGTCTGTCGGCAAAATTCCATGCCGACAATGTCCACACGGGCAGGATGTAGAGGTCCCCCATCAGAGCTAGCGCTGTCAAGCGCCTGAGCAATCTGTTGATCCTTTTCGCTGGGCTGCGGCCTTTGCCAATTGCATAGAAGAGCACTTGGGAGTCAATCACAATGAGCAGTCGCACTTGCTGGACATCCTCCTCTTTCAACAGGCGCCGAACATGGGCAATCATGGCCTGGGTTTCCAGCTCATTGATATGAGCTTCTTGCTTCCAGCGGTAGCTGAGAGTGTCCCGCCACAGCCACCTATACGCTGGGTACGGGATCAACTCCCTCTGTGCTTGATGCTCCACTGCGAAGCGCACATCTGTGCCACGGTAATGGCCATTTTGGAGGAGGCAGTGGCGAGCTTCGTTCTCCTTGCCGGTCACCAACTGCTCTTCCATCTCAAAGATGCGGAGGGCTACTTTGGTCCTCAGCTCCTCGTCTGTGAACCGGCTGTATTTGACCAGCTCGTTTCCCAACTGCCTCACCCGGAAGGCCTTCTCCTCGTGCCATAATCCGCGCTCCAGCATCTCCTCACGCAGGCTCTGAGCGTAAGCCTGGCACATTCCCTGCGGATATTCCGCTTCCATTTCGGTTGGGTACTGTATGACGCCGTCTTGGTCATAGAACGGCTGGTAGTCCTGTGTGAGCCCGTGGTCACAATCGGGCTTGTGGAGCGCTTCAAAGATGTGCCGGCTGTTGGTCAACACGGCGGTCCACTTCTGCCTCTGTCCGCCGAAGCAGCAATTGGAGAACACAGCCATTTGCACTCCTGGCAGGCTGGCCAGCTCAACGGTAGCTTTCATGTACCAGAGGAAGCTCCTCCAGGGATGCTCCAAAGTGAACACCTTCCCTTTTTCGTGCAATTCTTTGCACCGCTTCACACTCCTCAGGGCCATTCGGTTTCCCTGGCGAACTTGCACTGCCTGATGCCCCTTCAAGTTGTTGAAGCCCATGACATTCCTCTCATCCCTCAAGGCTGGAGGTCCTTTGATCCATTGCCCTTCCAACAGAAATGGCCTCCCTCTTGCTCTGCTCATGGTCTTGCAGTCTGGCGCGTGATGCTCGGCTTCCACCGGCGTCTGGTCCAGGTCTTCCCAAATCATTTTTCCACTCTCTGAAAAGAAGTCCATCAATGGGCTGATCTTGATGTCATAGGGCCGCGTCACATCCAGTCCTTCCTGCAAGATCGCCCTCGTCAGAGGACAGTTGCCTCCGGCCCATCTCTCGCTGAAAAGCGGCACCTCCTTGGCCGAGCAGTGGCACTGATCCTTGTGTTCTAAGAAACACTCCAGTGAGCATAATCGCGCACTGCAGCCGAACACGCACTCGATGTCCTGCCCATTTGCTATATGCTCAGTGACATCGGTACGGCACCGTGCACAGGCGAGTTGTTGCACACTTGGAACTCCCCTAGGCCTTTTCAGTTGCACGGCCATGCATGAACCTCCTCCCGTGGGTGAGGCGTCTGTTGCGCTCATTTTGGGGTAGATCTTGGCCCGGACATTGGTGAAGGCCAGAGGGAGCAAGGCCATCATACACACTAGCTCTTCTGTGGCTCCTTGCTGCGCTTTCGCCCGCTGGCCTTTCTGGGCGAACATGAAGACCTCGTCCATGATGGCCAACAATGGACGGCGGAAAGCTCCTGCAAATACTAGCCTGCCGGCGACCCCTGCCACTGCATTTGGGTCCCACTCCTTACAGCTGAGCAGGTATGCAATCATTGCCAGATCCATCCTCATTTTGGCCCCTTGCAGCATGAAGACTCCCGCTTCTGATAGGAGCTCACCTCCTTGTAGGGATCCCACTAACGCTCCCGCCAGGGATTTTGAGGCGTTCGTCGGAAGCCCTTTGGCTTGGCATGCTTCCGCAAACCTCTTGTGCTCCTCCGACGCCTCCCCTTCCAACACCTTTGCCATCGTTTTGGACACCAGTCTCAGCTGGTCCACAGAGTCCAAGTAGAGGAGTAGCTTGTCTCCCTCAGGCATCTCTTTGAACTTCTGTACCTCAGCTGAGGCCGGAAGTTTAGCTATGTTGAAGGCTAAGTGCCTGATTGCGGCTTGAACCACTCCAACAGCCGAGACCCAGCCCATAGGCACTGTTCGTAGTGCCACAAAGGTGGGCTCATCTCCCTCCAGTCCAAGCACTCGAGCAGGCACCTTCTTTTCATAAACAAAGAGGCCTCGCCAACCCAGCGGCATCAAAAACAAATTGAATGCCGAGGCCATGTCTTCCGAGTCGATGAGGACTTCACACTCATCAGGGACCTGGAGCAAATTCACCTGGCCCACATACGGCAGCGTGGACTCGTCCCCACTGATCTTGCGACTCACCGCATTCAGCGGGCAGAAAATTGAAATGAATCTCTGCAGCAGCCTGTCTCCTTTTTGCTTTGGCACCGCTCCAGCACCATTCAAGATTTTGTTGCCTGATCGGTCATGTAAGACCTCGTCTGCGGGACAGGCTTGGAAGAGCCCTCTTTTGTACCCTTCTGCTACCAGCTCTTCCCACACCTTGTCGGTGGCACGCACATAGCTCTTTGGGATCTCACTGGGCCACTCCTCAAGCGGCAAGATGGAGGACATTGGTGCCAACACTTGCACCCTTGTTTCTCCCTCCAAGAAATCCTCCAGAGGGGCTACTGCAGCCTCGTCTGATGACGGCCAACACTCCACTACCTTGCTCACCTCCAACTCTTCCATCACCACATAGGAGCCCCCCTCATAGTCGTGGTGCTTTTTGTCCAACTCTTTCTTGATTTCCTCTCTAGTGGGAACCTTCGGGTTGCTACCGATCATCCGCTCTACGGCCGGTGCCAGGTGGGTGTCAAGGATCCGCACCTGCCTGTCGCTCAACTCCTTTGAGTGTCTCATATACTTGCTGCTGGCGAAACCTGAGCAGAATTGGTAGTTGAGAATCAGACAAATAAAGCACAGCCAGTCTCGGGTGGCGTCATTCCAATCCCGGCGCCCTGCTATCGCCTCCACTGAGATAGGCAACAGATCGCAGGCAGCGGGCCTGCCTTGGGCCACAGCGTGTTCTTTGAAAGCTTGCCGAAACTTTCCGAGAGGCGATGCAAGGTCCTCCAACAGGTCTAGCATCATTGAGCCCAGCTGTGCAACTTTGATGCCCCCGTCCAGAGCCGCCTGGCATTTGACCTTGAGCCTCTGAGGGTTGGGCTCTGTGCTAGGGGCCATTTCCTCCAGCTCCGGCTCCACCTCAGGGATCTGCTCCATCCTCATCTTTCCTTCAGGGCTGACAGACGGCTCGGCTGGCCGATCGTTTCCGCCCTTCCTTGGACGTTCTATGACGTTTTCTTCTCCGCTGCTTCCTGAGCGGGCGTCTTCCACTTTCCTTTGTCTTTCCCTTTGTTTTTGCCGATTCCTTTTCCCTCCTTCCCTCGAGGGCCTCCTCCGGTCTCGTCCCAGCGGTTCCCTGGGGCTCTCCCGCGGAACTTCTCTTCCAACTCCACCTCCTTCATCATCATTTGCTCCTCCCCCTTGTCGGTCATTCCCAGTTGTTTCCGTCCTGCACCGACTGTTCCAGTGCTTTCAGTCGTTGCGCCGCTATATCTGCGGCTGTTGATCCCTTCCCTGCGGCTAACTGGTCCAACACCTCTGCCCAAACCCTCATCTCTCGCTGAGTCCTCATGTTCCATTTGTCTCTGAGGGTTGGTGTGAGGATGGCCAGAAAGTAGCTCACCGCGCAGGGCCTCACCTTTTCGGCTTTTCTCCCGGCTAAGAAAGTCGCCCCCTCGAACCTTGTTGCCCGCTCCATCACTCCTAGGAGGCGGGTTGCCAGACGGCCCGGGTGCCTCTGAGCATACCGCTGCAGCCGTAGATGCAGGGTCAGGCCCGAGGGGGCTTTGCGAAAAGACTGGCTTGACTCGGAGGAGCTGCTAGATCCTTCCACTCCACTTTCACTCCCGTCTCTTGGGAGGCATTTTGTCTCTCCAACTCCAAAGGGCCCCTTGTCACGCTCAGTGCGGCCCTTCTTTTCCTTTGTCTTCTGCTTTTTCTTTTTTTTCTTCTTCACACGCTTGTCCTCGTCACGCTTCTCCTGCTTTCGCTCCTTCTTGGCTCCTTTCTTGTCCGCCTCCCTTTTGGCCTTTCTATCTCCGCTGGAACTCCCTTCACCGCTCGACGAAGAGTCAGCCTCCTCAGATTCATCTTCTTGACTCCGAGAGTTCCCCTCTGTTGAGCCCCAGTCGGCTCCCATTTCATTCTCCTCTGCACCTTTGAGGCCTCCCTTATCAAAGGCCGGCCTCGCTTTCTTTCTAGGTTTCTTCTGACTCGGCTCTGTGCCGGCTGCTCTTTTCTTGGGCCGCGTCTTCTGCTCAATCTCCTCCTCTTGCAAACTCTTTTTGAGTTGTCTTAACTCCTTCTCCAACGCAGAAACCTTTGCCACCTTTGCGGCTCTACCCGCCGGCTCATGTTCCTTTGGGTCTCTCTCCTTTTCTTCACGGTCTCCTCGTTTCTTTTCTTTGTCCTTTTTCAGGTTTAACTCCCCCGGGGTAGTCCACGGGAGGCGAGAGCCTTCTCCTCGGGTTTTCTCCAAGCCCTCTCGCTTGAAGTACTGGCTCAACATCCCTTTGGCCTCCTTTCCGTAGCCCTCAGGAGCTTCTCCACCTATCAGGTCCTCCTCCTTCCAAGTTCTCCACTTTCCCAGGTGTACTGTCACCTCATGTTGTCCTGCGGCAGGGCACTCCTCTGTGGGTCCCTTACACAGGTGATAAGACCCATCCACGGTTGTCAACCGGCCTGTCTTGGACGTAGTCCATTCCCTGTAGGCCCTATCGGATGCACTCACGAGGTCGCCCAGGAAAAACCTCCCCAGGACACCTGGCGCATAGATGCGCTTCACTTTCACCAGGATTGTCCCCTGGGCTGTGCCTCTCTCAGTGAAGACCTCTGCTTCGATGTAGGCGTCCTTCACTGGAGAGGCAACACTACCTTTGCCCCCCACCCACCTGCCTGGCATCGACCAGGGCAGGGGGTGAAGGCCTCCTCTACAGGCCAACCAAGGCCCGGTTACCTCAGGGCCATGCCCTGGCAAGGCTTTTAGAGCCAGAGCTGCGGAGCCACCGAAGTGCTATAGAAATGTGCCTTCATGCAAAGCCTTCAGTTACTTGCATCTATATATACATTATACTAATTACACCCACAACAGTCATTAAAAGAAAACAAGCAACACATATCAACACATCCCCGTTTTGCCCTGTTCCGTGAATGCCGACCTGAGAGAAGACCGGCATGATGGTCACCCCAGCGTGGCCACCGATCACTGGCACTTCGATGTCCGCGGGGCTTTTGCCGGTGATCTCTGCCACGAATTTGTTGGCGCGCACCTAAAAAACGTGGACGTGCGGACAGCTGGTAGTAATGGTTGAAGCTTGGGGAATAGAAAGTTGAAATATCTTGAAATATCTTGAAATGAGAATTGTTTAATTTGTTTGATATTGTCAGAATTATTCAGATTTCAATTATTTGAGAACAAAATGGAAAAAAACTGTATGAAAACATGGGGATGTTGCCCTCCATCACCGTGAGGGTAACCTGCTGAGTGGAACATGTAAGGTGTCGTGGTAAAAAAAATAGCAGGACAGCACTGGTCAAAGTTGGACAAGTGAAGGCTTCTGAGCGCAGGACAATATCCAAGGAAGTCACTCCCACGATTTTCAATGGATCCAAACCTCAAGAAACATACCAAACTCCCACAGGAACCCATTGTATGGCAATGGATATTTTTTGCATGTGACAGGTTTTGTTCTATCATTGACCCGCATGTCTCTGAAGAGTCCTTCTAGAAGAAAGAAAACAACACCATTTCTTTTAAGTTGGCATGGAAATACCCTCTGGTAATTTAACATAGCTATGGTGATTTTCCCATTAATCATGGTGATTTTCCATAGCTATGTTAAATTACCAAAGGGTAAACACGTTTTTCCCATGTCTTTTGGCCTTTTTGTGGAGACTCAGGAGCCAACCCTTCTTCTTGTAGAGCTCCGCCATGGCAGGCACGATGGAGTTCACCTAACTGGCCGGTGGCTGGCTGTCAGGCGTAAGCCTCTAAGTGGTGTAAAATGACTTATCTTTAAATAGGTCAAAACAGTGTTCTGTTGTAAGCTGTCCTGTTTCATTCATGCTGGAAAACATGATGCTTTCAGGGCTACCCAAATGATATGGTTTCATAGCCCCTGTGCATGGCCTACCGGAATTGGCTGGGCATGACGTCTCTATCTGGACCCTCCAAATATCCCGAAAATTGTACTGATAAAAAAAAAACAGAGATTAAAACATGTTAAAACACAATATTTATCGGTACAGGTACTTGGAGGGTCTAAGTATGTAGCTATGTTGATTTTCGTGGCATTTGAACAGCCAAGGACACCATCCTTGACCATGGTCTCACAGCCCCATCGCCATCGCAACTGCCAAGACACCGGGTTCACGATGATGCCAACCACCTTAGCAAAATGGAAAACATCCTGATGGATCTGATGGTGTTTTTGGGGCATAGAATCAATCCTTTCGGAAACACTGCTTCGTTAGGTTTCAGAAAATCACGATCAACAAGAGGAAGGAAAAGGCCCGAATCACAGCCTTTTATGTTGTGTGCTCTCTTTTCTTCGACGAGCTCGCGAAGTTGTGACCAGTTCATATGACGGCCCAGCAGTTTCATAGATGCTGACCTGCACTGAAGTTCCCTTGCAGCTAATGCAGCTAATGCAGCTAATGCCAGGTTTCAATCCAATCAGATGCCTTTGAAAGAAAACCATTCTGCTGGCGTTGCCCTCCATTTTGGAAATCCTAGCCATCCAACTTTCATCAAACTCACTTCTTCTTGGCGACTTTTCATGTCGCAAATCGATGTTCCCTTGATTAAGCCTCCATTTGGAAGGGATTTCCCTTGGTTCAACCTCCATTTTAGACCTCTGATTCCACCGAAAAATTTCCCAACATATCCTCTGGGTCCTCGGACGGCTTCAGGGCAGAACTTGGCGCATGCCTCCACGACGCCCTTGGCGATGTCTGCGTTGATGTTGAACAAATCGTCGCGGGTCATGCCCGGCTTCCGCGGCATCTGGGACTTCGGAACGTTTCGCCAGCGAAAACGAAGGACGATGCAAGGATGTACATGAAATTATAGGAATGAATTAGGAATGGGTATACCCACAAGGCGCAACACGAAACAGTAGATAGACTCAAGGACCAACAGGCTTTGGGCGGCCAGATATTTGCCATACAGTAATGCAATCTTTGGACAGTTGTTGCATGTCTTTGGACACTTGGACAACTTAGTTTCTAAACATCTTCCATGAACAAATGGCATATGCCCATTATATGCCATTATCTTGCGGCAAGGTACTCCAGCAGGAATCAGCACCAGATTGCATCCTGTCAAACATGCTTCCAACTGTTCCGTGGCAGGCACTTTGGGGTCAGTCGCATAGCCCACGACCTGGCGGGATTAGTAAAGTGATGTTGAATGAATTGAAGATATTCTGACGGGGGAATGTGTAGGAAACCTTCCCACTGGTTCTTTTGCTTTTTGGACCATCTGCAAGGGGGGTCTTGAAGATTTTCCCTCAGTTCAATTCTGTATCAAACAGGAAGCTTGAGGAAATGTCAGGCAGTCAGGCTCATGCAGGAAGCACCATGTTTTCCAAGCGCGGGTACGTCTGTGAACACGGGCCCAGGGTGGCCCTGTACATCCTGCTCTGTTAGCACATCTTGGTTGACCTGCTCCCTGCCCGTTCGCTAGGAAACCATCACCAACCAACAGCTTGTCCATCCACGTTGTTGCGTAGGTCTCATGACCACCATGACCAGCATCTTGGTAGAACCCCATGGTCCATCATCGCGGCTTGTCGAATTTCGGACTCAACAGCAATTTCAGTGCCGTCCTGGCCCGATCCCCCTGCTGTCCGGCCACCTTGCTCTCTTGTTCCAAGGCCTCAAAGCTCCAATCCAGCAGTTCTCGTGGAAAGAGGTGCATCAAACTCAAGGTTTCTGTCACCTGCTGTGGTGGTCGAGTCTGGCCACGTCCATACCTTTCTCGTTTGTTGGGCGTCAGGACAGTCTGCAACTTGTCGGCCTGAAGAATCTCTCGCGCCGTTCGCCCCAGGCAACGTACCCGCGACAGAAAACGGACCTGCGAGCTATTGATGAGAATTGGCAAATAGGAAAAGCAAGCCATCCCAAACAAGAAAATGAGGCGCCAGCAACGGGCATAGAATATGACCCAGAGTCATGGGTGTGTAAGACATGGATCAATATCACCAGCAAGAATGGTTATATGATGTTATATGACAAGTTGTATGGTTGGTACACATATATAATCAATGCAACGGAAGGGTTGATATTGGCAATTAGCCAGTGAACACACTTTTCGGCTTTCTCACTGGCAAATACAATGGCCTGTTCTCACAGAGCTGTGACTACGCTTGGGCCGTCAGCAGGCTGCAAAAAATGGTGTGACAATGGGTCAATGCTTGGGATGGACATACGATTCTTGGTTGGCTTATCCTGTACTTCAACAGACGCCGAGGGGTATCCCCAAGGCAAAGCCATCATTCATGGATTTCATGGTGGATTTCGGAGCCCGACTTGAGGTGATCACAGCTCAGATGGCGTCTACAACTTGAGGTGGATGATTTTCAGGAACAAACATTTACCCTCTGGTAATTTAACATAGCTATGGAAAGATCCACCATGCTATTAATGGGAAAATCCACTATTAATGGTCATTTTCAATAGCTATTTTGACATAACCAGAGGGTAAACATCCATTAAATCCCATTAAACCACCATTTTCCTATGGTTTTCCTATAGTTTTCCCATGGTAAACATCCCCAATTCTTCCAACATCCCAAACAGCCCATGGTTTGTGTAGCGCCTTACTGGGGAATTCCAGATGCCCGAGATCCGCGGCCACTCCGGCAGGAGGCACCTGGTAACATCATGGGATCTCTTTCAACGGGATGAGATTTCATGGGGAGATCATGGGGTATAACTGGTCTAACTAACAATATGATATGTGGGTAAGTCTGAAAATGTGGTACCCCCCCATAAATGACAACTTTTAAAATGAAAATGATGATTAATCATCACTTTTCTAATGAAAATGATCATTGATTGTCGTTTATTGGGGGTGCCTCATTTTCAGACACACCCGTATGTTTTGACAAGCTCTCAGCAGGGAACTTGGTTAAATCTGTTCTTAAAATGTCAGATCCAACACACCGCAGGTCTTGTAGCATCGAAAAATGGAGTAACCACAATCAATTCCTGTAAATCACCATTTTTTGATGTCTAAGTCGCCATTCCCACGCTTGGCGCCTGCCCTTGGTCTGAAAAACCTGAAGAAAAAAACTCGCATCGGAAAGGGGCTGAGGGAGGGACAGCGGCCATGCTGACGTCTTGCACTGACACCTCAAAGCCAGAAACGATACCCCATTGACCCAAGAATGAACCATTTAGGGGTAAATACGATGCCAAACAAGAAGGGTGTTCAGGTAAGAATAAAACATGAACAGAATGAATCATGTGTTCCTTTGATTTTAAACGAGTAATCACTGCAAGGAGCCAAAACTAGTGTCGCGTCCAGCAAAATTGACTAATGGCATCTTTTCAATGAGAGCCCTAAGGCACCATTACCATACCAAAGAAGAAGGGCTCAAAATGGTGTTGGGTTTACCACACCACATTGCGGTGGAACCTGCGACAATTGTGTGTGTTTTTAGATTCAACCATTACACAAGGGACCACAGATGAACCATCCTTTTCTCAGATCTGTGTTCGTTACCCTCTGCGAATCAAACATGGCAATGGAGAATCCCTGGAAATGTAGAAGATAGATTCATGATTGATAGTCTTAAACGGAAATGGACATGACCTATCAAGATGATGTTTCTTGATGATTTGACCACCGGGGGCGTTCCAAAAACAGCTTCTCCCCAGGGCAGGGCCGACCGGGCCGACCTCCTTGACGGATTCGTTCATGGCCATCAGCATGGTGAGCGGCTGCCCAATGCCTCCAGCGCCGCCATTGATACACACCTGGCGATTCGCCATAAAAGACTTCCACAACGGTCCCTCCGAGATGTTGAAAATTTCCCCACAACACCTGGTTGAAATGTGGAGCTTTCCTAAAATGGGGGGATCCCAGTCATCATCCATGAAATATGTTCGGATTTTCCACTACAAATCATCCAGCTATTGGGTATCCCCCATTTGTGGAAACCCACAGATATCCCTCCGAAAAGTGTGGGTCAGTCCACGCAGGTCGTCCACCTTGAACTGGGCTGTGCTGAAGGATGCAGCTGGAGCATACCGGGAGAAGAGCGGAGCGGCACGCTGGAAGCTCCTGGGTTAATCTACCCGTTAGATGCAGAGTTCCATGGGTATCTGCAGGGCCATCCTAAAAAACCATGGTCCCAAAATGGGAATTCCGGGAGTGTGGATGATCAGCATCGCAGTATTTGTGTTCACCACTTTCTGAGCGACTGAGTGAGATGATCCCAAAAAAAAATGTGCCGTCCATCAAGTTTCGAAAAAGAACAAGAAAGCAGCACAAACGAAGTTTCGTTGAAGCAGGCCTTGGTTTTTTTTGAGACAAAGTATCATGAGAAGTTTGTTCACAGCAAGGAACTCGGAACTTTCACTAGAAACTCCCATAATTACTGGTTGATTGATTGAATATTCCCATCATTGATCTCAATAATCCCCATCCCATTATATATTGGAAGTGTGGATTTGGATCATCTCCACGAAAAATCGCACCTGCTCAAACTGCGCAGTGCTGCCATGGCTTTTGGTGGACCGCCGTCGTGGGAAAATGATGGACAAAGGGAGCTTGAAAATCCGGCGGTGCGATGGAGGCCGGGCAGAATTGTCATGCGAGTCTGTGCAAAGAATATCTGTATGCTGTGTATAGAAGTATCGGTATATTTATACTTACTTAAGGGCTGCAATTTTTTTCGGGATTTTTTTCCCGTTTTTTGTTGGGATTTTTTCCCGTTTTTGGGGGTTTGATGGTTTTGATTGGTATTTGCAGCGTTTTGCAGCTAAGCTCTCTGATTTGCATGGTGTTGTTGTTGTTGTTGTGGTTGGATGGATGGATGGATGGATGGATGGTTGGTTGGTTGGTTGGTTAGTTAGTTGGTTGGTTAGTTAGCTGGTTGGTTGGTTGGTTGCTTGGTTGGTTGGTTGGTTGGTTGTTTGGCTGGTTGGTTGGTTGGTTGGTGTTGGTTTGGTTGTTGTGTTGTGGTTGTGGTTGTGGTGGTTGTGGGTTGTTGTGTTTTGTTGTTGGTGTTGGTGTTGGTGTTGTTGTTGTTGGTGTTGGTTGTTGTTGTTGTTGGTTGTTGGTTGTTGTTGTTGGTTGTTGGTTGTTGGTTGTTGGTTGTTGGTTGTTGTTGTTGTTGTTGTTGGTGTTGTGTTGTTGGTGTTGTTGTGTTGTTGTTGTGGTGTTGTTGGTTGTTTGGTTGTTGGTTGTTGGTTGTTGGTTGTTGTTGTTGGTTGTTGTTGTTGGTTGTTGGTTGTTGGTTGTTGGTTGTTGTTGTTGTTGTTGTTGTTGTGGTGTTGTTGTTGGTTGTGGTGTTGTTGGTTGTGGTGTTGTTGTTGTTCTTGTTGTTGGTTCTTGTTGTTGGTTCTTGTTGTTGGTTCTTGTTGTTGGTTCTTGTTGTTGGTTCTTGTTGTTGTTGTTGTGGTTGTTGTTGTGGTTGTGGTTGTGGTTGTGGTTGTTGTTGTTGTTGTTGTTGTTGTTGTGGTTGGTTGGTTGGTGTTGTTGGTTGTTGTTGTTGTCCTTGTTGTTGTTGTTGTTGTTGTTGTTGTTGTTGTTGTTGTTGTTGTTGTTGTTGTTGTTGTTGTTGTTGTTGTTGTTGGTTGTGGTTGTTGGTTGTTGGTTGTTGGTTGTTGGTTGTTGGTTGTTGGTTGTTGGTTGTTGGTTGGTTTCTTGGTTGGTTTCTTGGTTGGTTTCTTGGTTGGTTTCTTGGTTGGTTTCTTGGTTGGTTTCTTGGTTGGTTTCTTGGTTGCTTGGTTGGTTGCTTGGTTGGTTGGTTGGTTGGTTGCTTGGTTGGTCGGTTGGTTGGTTGGTGTTGGTTGGTGTTGTCAATGTACATATTCAACATGTCATATCAACACTGGCCTGTGGTTCAAGGCCTTGAGTCAACTCCTGTTGACAACATACAGATTGAGTGCGTGCAACAGCAAAAGGTGCCGACAGTTGCAGCTTGACAACAGTGCTTGAAACATCTCGCACTTTTACATGGTAGCGGAGCTCTGCCTTACCAGGAGCATCTCCAAGCAACAGCAGTAAACAACAGGCAGAGGGCTTGATCCCAGAACACTGGGGGACTCTCAACAATTACTGTGCACAACACCCAACAAACAACACACCAGACAACAGAGGAAGCAGCAGCTGAACAACAACACTCTGACAACAGGGAGAAGCCTTGATCCCAAGACATTGGAGGAGCTTCAACAAAACTTTACAAAGCAACAATGGCGGCATCACCAACAGCACCACTAGAGGATCAGACAGAAGCGTTGGCAGCAACACACCGACTCAAACTCAAGCCCCCAACATATGATGGCAACTATTCTACATTTGAGGAGTGGAAATACAAATTCACAGCATACATGGGCCTCATGGACCCATTCTACCCCAACATCCTACGACGTGCAGCAACATCCACACAACGACTTACAGAAGCAGACTTGAGAGGAGCAGCACAGAACATGGAGGAAGCCGACAGATGGGTACAACTAGACAACAACTTGAAGTACATACTTGTGAACGTGGAAAAAGGAGCTGCAGCAACAGTGTGCAGACAGTATCAACATGAGATGGGACTTGAGACCTACAGGCAGCTCAGCAACAGGTTTGCCATACCATTAGGAACAAGAAGCATAGGGTACCTAACAAAGCTGCTCAAGCCAACATTTGACAGCAACAACTTCGAGGAGTCATTCTCCAACTGGGAATTCGAGCTCTCAAGGTATGAGAGAGACAACAACACAACACTACCAGACCAAATCAAAATTGCAGTCCTGATGAACGAGACATCAGGCCCACTGCAACAACACCTGCACTTGAATGCAGGAGCAACACCAACATACGTAGAGGTACGTGAAACAATCATGGAATATTACAGAGCCACCACAGCCCTTAGCAGGCTACACCAGCAACCTGGGACATCCAGCGTCTCAACACACGCCCAAGGAGGACCGGCACCTATGGACATTGGAGCTGTCAACAAAGGATACAAAGGAAAGTACAACAAAGGAAAAGGAAAGAAGCCCAACAAAGGAAAAGGAAGGAACAAGAGCAACAAAGGCAAAGGATATGGCTACGGATACAACAAAGGCAAAGGAAAGATTGGGCAAGGAATGCAGCCCAAAGGATCCAACAACAAAGGAGGGTACATAGGCAAAGGCAAAGGCAAGCCAACAGGAAAAGGAAAAGGGGTCCCAACGCAAGGATGCTACAGATGTGGCCAACCAGGTCACATAGCAAGAGACTGCCGTGTGGCAGTACACAACCTCAACGAGGTTACAACCAACACATACACTGGCCATTGGCAAGATGATGCAACAACCCAATGGTATCAACAACAACAGTACTATGACGGCCAATGGTGGAATGATGACCAAACACAGGTCAGCGCACTGCCACAGCAACAACTGGCACTCCCACCAACAAGCGCGCAGGAACAGCAAGTTCCACAACTCCACATAGCAGCCATTTCAATACAGCAGTCCAACAAGCAGCAGCCAGCAACTGAGCAACCGGCAAACACCACAGAAGATTTGATGATTGACAGTGGAGCAGCAACACATGTTTGCCCACCATGGTTTGCCCCAACATACAAAACATATGAACTTCACCCAGAACAAGGCCCAAGACTTACAACAGCAACAGAGGAAGACATCACAGTCTATGGCTACAAATGGGTGTACATGAAGAACAGCAAGCAACAACCGATCGTCATACCCTTTTATGTGTGTGACGTGTCACAACCCATTTTGTCAGTAACAAGACTGGCATCACAGGGTTTCAACATCCAGCTTAGCGATCGCCCATCAATCACCAACACCAACGGCTTTGAAGCAACACTGAAGCAACAACAAGGACTGTATTTTCTTACAGTCAACATCAGCCCAATGCCAAGCAACATGAAGCTCGACATATGTGAGACGTCACATGGCATTCGAGCAACAGTGTCCCCAGTGACAATTACACCAACAGGACCTGAATGGGTCACACACAACAACGACATTTGGATATACAACAGCACAGGATATCTGGTGAGGGTACACAAGAGAACAAGGAAGGCCCTCTTCACACCAGATGCACAATGTCCAGTTCCAGAAGAACAGCTGGACAACTACAGAAGAACAATAGCATACAAGCCAGATGGAACACTTGAGGACTTTGAGGACAAATACAAAGACCTTCCACAACAACGACAGAACAGAAGACTTCCAGGACCAGCATGGTCAGGAGAAACATGGTTCAGAGTCAAAGAGACAACAAAGCCTCCAGCACCACCGTTGCCCAAGGCATCAACAGCAGCTTCAGCGCCAGCATCAGCAACACCAAAGGCATCGGCAGCCAAGGCAACGACACAGCAACAGCAGCAACAAGCTCAGCAGCCTACAGGATCAGCAGTTCGACACAGAGAGAAGAAGCCAGTGGAACAACCTTTGGTACCACAGCAACAGCAGCCCATGAAGCAACAAGCATATCCAGGAACAGCAGTTCCAGGACCAAAGGACACACCAGCAACAGCAGACTACTGGATCAAAGAAGGACAGTACTGGAAGAGAGTCCATGTACAACAACGGACTCAGCTTTACATCCCACAACAAACAATGGATGGTCCAGATGTCACAAAGCTATTGCCACAAAGACAAACAATAGTTAAGCCAACATCAGGAGCCAGAGGATACAGGATTGATGATGACTGGACAACAAAGACCTCAGCAACAATGAACTTCACATGGACAGGTTCAACAAACTTTGAGGAGAGCACGGCGTTCAAAGAGGAGTACTACAACATCGATGAGGAAGAACATTTAGATGCCAGAACAGCAAAAGGCATCAAAGCACCAGAGCAGCCAACAGCACAAGAGCGTGCTGAACATGAACTCACACACCTTCCCTACAGGAGTTGGTGTCCAACATGTGTTCAAAACAAAGGACGGGCAGACAACCACCCACGACAACACAGCAAACAACCAGTCGTACAATTCGACTTTTGTTTCTTCAAAACACTTGGAGAAAAGGAAACAACACCAATCCTCACAGGCATTGACGTGGAAACAGGCATGAGCATGGCAGTTCTTGTCAACAGCAAGACAGCAGACTTTCAATATCACGTCCAATGCATACAAACATTCCTCATGGAGTGTGGCAGAGTACAAGCTGTACTCAACAGCACAATCCTACAGTCAGATCAGGAGGATCACCTCATAGCACTTCTCAGAGCAACAGCAGCTAAGATGGGAGGAAACATCACAGTTCGACAAGCACCAACATACACATCACAAGCACAAGGCAGCGTCGAACGCTTTCACAGAACACTCATGGGACAAGTCAGAACACTGAAGTCCCAACTGCAGAACAACTACGACATCAGACTTACAAGCAAACATCCCATCGTAGCATGGATGGTGAGACACACAGCTTACCTGCTCAACAGGTATGCCATACATTCAGATGGCAACACAAGCTTCTTCAGGAGATGGCATAAAGAACACAAAACACCACTCTGTGAGTTTGGTGAAACAGTTCTTTATATGTTGC